TTATTATTATTATTCAGAAGTTGTGTCACCAGCCCCTGCTGCCATATATCCAAATAAATATTCATGGCTAGTGTGTATAAAGTCCTGTTTCCACACTCCTCTGAATGTGTTTGTAATAAATTTCAGGGACGTAAAGAAGAGGACAGGCGATTGGTTCTACGACCAAAGAGTTAATCGTTTCTCTATGAATCCTGGGCATGACCTCGTGAGGGTCTCCCTGAAAAAGAGACCACCAGGTTAGTTAAGACAGGAACCAGACATGAGCTTCAGTGGTTCTGATCCTAACAGTTTGTTTTATTCTTATAGCGAGGAAACGTGAAACAGCAGGAGAAAAACTCTTGAGAACTGCAGTTCTTCCCAAACCAGCGCCTCTGCCCAGACAGAAAAATCCGCCCGTTGACGCAGAGTGAGTCTTCTTCATTCTTACGGTTTTCTGAAGGATTAGTGTGAGCTTTCTCACAACGCACAGGAAGGAATATTTCACAACTATTTGTTACATTTTCATTGACAGTCAGTCAAGTGAGCATTCAGGATCTATTGCTTCAAGGGAATCTCTTGAACCAAAGGATAATGTTTCTGCAAAGCCTCCCTGCAGTGACACAGAGTCTGCAGAAAACGTCAGTATCCTTAGCGTTAAAACCAAGACTGAATCCGGCCGGGCAACTCCTGAGCAACCGAGGTAAATTCACAGTTTAACACTGTTTAGACTCGCCTTTAAATAAAAAGTGAAGTGGAAACTGAAACCGTAACTCGTATTATTTACATGTACTTTATACTGTTTCCCTGAAATTATCTTTATTTGACAAAATTCAAAGATTTAGCAATCAATTCAAGCATATGTGACCATTTTACCAGTGATGTATAGAAATAGAGATGAATAACTAGAGGTGCACCGGTTTATCAGGCAGCCGATCTCCTTAATTTTGGGAGATCAGAGATCGGCCGATATTTACATGTGTAGCTGATCTTATCTGCCTCGGCGAAGGTTTAAAAATGAACCACCATCCTCTTCTGCTCTCCCATGAGAGGTTTGACTGACAGATCAGCCCATCATGTCTGCCCATTCAGTTAACATGGTCACCTCACTGTAGGCACCAACTTTATTGTTATATTTAATTAAATTTCAGACAAAAAAAATCAGGTCAGTCTTTTTCAAGATCAGTAATTGGTGATCAGCCAGAAAACTGCAACCGGTGCTAAAAATAATCACGGCTTTTTTTAAATGAGTGAATGGGAGTTGAATTATAAGAACAACTCCAGTTTGAACTACAGAACATTTCCAAACTCTCACCTGAAGTAAGGTTTAATTTCTGGAATGTCTTGGTAAGTTTTAAGTTCAGCGACGTTAATTATTTTTCAAACTAGAAGCGGAGCTCACAAATCTCAGGATTGTTGGTCAGATATTTATTTCTCTTGTTTTGTGTGTTTTGAGCAGCAGAATAAAGCTGCACATTTCCAAAGCGTTTCTTTCAGTAGATGTGTTTTCCTGCAGAGCTCGCAGCTCCGTCCCCTCCAGCCCAGCAGGCTCCAGTCCGATGGCGCCGGGCAGAACGGACGTTGTAAGAACTGAAAGCGGCAGCTCAAACACCAGCTCTGTAAGGACTTTTACTTCAGTCTTAAGTGATTGTGTTTTTATGCATGTGTGTATATTTTTTCATAATGCTTTACCATTTTTGTCCTGAAGGCTCCGGATGTGAAATCCCGCAACGCGAACTCCGACCTGGACGTTGAACGACTCTTCAAGAAAAGCGTCAAAATAGACCCAAAACCCAAAGGTTGTTAATCCCATTTAGAAAAACTGTTATTTTATTATATCTACCTAACTTCTGTTTTTATTCTATTAGAATGTTTATCAACACTTGACTTGCGTGATGGTGGTGAGAAACCAGAGGCTTCGATGGGCAAGCGGAGCCGCTCCGTTCCAGGCTTGGACATTCAGGTAAGTGGTGAATATTATCGTTTATTTATAGAATCATTATTGTATCATTTCTTTCTGGTTCTGATCGGGAATCTCTGTCTGTGATGCAATCTTTTAAAATGCCTTTACTGGGACAGTGGAGTACTTGACTGGGTTTGGATGTTTCCACTTTTTGCTCATGCTTCATTATTGCATGTACTGACCAGGCCTGTCATGGTAACAAATTTTACTGGATGATAAATTGTCCCAGAAGTTATGGTGATAAATGATAATATTGTTATTTTGAGACCATTTGCAAGTAATGTAAGGGTAATGGCATAATAATGGAAAAACAAATTTTCTCAAAGATCAATAAACTTAAAGTCTGATGAACATTTAAAACTGGAACTGGAAGACATTTTAAATATCCAAAATAAATAAACAAAACAACAGAAACGAATAAAATTAATTATGAAGTCTCTGTAAGCAAAAATTATCCTTTAAAAAACAACAAAGCTAGCTGAGACCAAAACTGAAGAGTTTTATCATCCAGTTTTTGGTAGAAATAGAGAAAAGAGAAAAACAACAAATCATGCAAATGGAAATTGAGTTTGTTTTAATTTATCAAATGTAATCTTGTCTGTGATGGATTTTCCATAATGGTGAAACATACGTGACCAGAAAAATTCAAACTTTACCCGATTGAACCTGGATCACTGCAGCTGCTGTTGACATTATGATGAACTCGGCTTTATAGTGTGACTGTTGTGTTTATTTAAATGTTTTTATGACCACACAGGAGGATGAGGAGGAGGAGGAAGATATTGACCGTTTGGTCAGCTTTCATAAAATGTCGATGGCCAGAAGTACCTCCAGTCTGCAGAGTTCAAAGGTATCAATGCTCTGACATTTCTTACAGCAGGCGCAGCTGATATCAGCTAATCTACATGAGCATCTTTAACCTCAGGATTTCCTGCCTCCAGTTCGGAAATCCTGAGCTCATCTAGAACGCCAGCTTACTCAGTTTTGGTACGAATTATCTTAAAGAAAATGGCAAATTTTTGCATGTTTAAACAGAATTTGGATAATAAGAAAACACTATTAGTCCTTTAGGAAATGTCTGAGCAGCGGTTATCCAAAAATCAATGTTTGCTTTAAAATGCAGACATTATTACCGACTCTTAACGTCTGTTTGTGCAGAGCATGACGAGTATTTACAGTGAATCCGGAGACTTTGACAGCGTGGAGGTGAGCGGCGACGTCGTCTTCTCTCTGAAGTACGATGAACACACACAGAGCCTCCATGTGTTCATCAAGCAGTGCAACGGTCTGGCCTACGCCGATGCATCGCGCCTGGTTTCCAACCCGTGAGTGTTAAACTTCCAGCTGTACGACACAGAAACTGTGACGAATAAAATCCTGGACTTGTTGAGCAGCAGGATTGATGGTCTCTGCGTTTTTGATGTGCAAACACGCCTCAGCGACGTTTCCACAGCTTTGATCAGTTTAGATAAGAGGCTGTTCTGTTTACACAAGCTCGATTCTTGCATCCCTCTGGTGATTAGCTGAGCTTCACAGGAAATTGTATGTTAACATTCACCTCAGCATTTAGTCAGGAAATGCTGCAGAAGACCAGCAGTTGTTCCTTGGAAAAACCTAAACTTTCATCCTTTTTTCTCCCTCTTTGTTTTGTGTTTCAGTTATGTGAAATGTTACCTGCTGCCAGACAAATCACATCAAAGCAAGAGAAAAACCAGCATCAAGAAAAACACCATCAACCCCGTCTACAATGAAACTATAAAGGTGAACTTTGCATTTTGGCTTAAAGAAAACTTCAGAGTTGGTTTTCTTGCACTGCTCCAAGTATTGACCGCACCCACTCTGACCCTGGGATCTGTGTTTACTTTGCAGACAAGTACAGCTATTGTCAAATATTGATTTTTGGTCCTGCTTTCAGTGGAGGCAGCTGAAACACAAACAGAGCAGCTTACATGGAAATTAGTTGAAATATTTGATAGGAATAGTTGTTTAATATGCAGTCATTTTGAATTTTAGGTACAAGTTGAGAAAATTTAAATTTGTTTTGTTTTTCGCTCATGATCTTTATCATTACGCCTCCACCAGTCGAGCCTTTACAGGATGTCCACTCTTCCTTAAAAAGTCTTAAATTTGTGTATAAAATGTTAAGGCCTTAAAATGTCTTAGATTAATTTTAAAAATGCAAGTTGGCCTTAGATTCATCAGTCTTGTATGTATATTATTATTTTCTCTCAGACTTTTCTTATACATTTTTTGTGTTCCACTGTTTTTAACTAAACTGATGTGATCCCCATTTCAAAAAGTTTGTATTGCCTGTTGGCTGGACGATGTTCATCTTTGCCATTAGCTCTTGCTAACTGGTACATTGCTGCTTGAAGAAGCAGGGCACCGTTCCACTTTAATCTGCTTATTTTTATATTCATTATACATCTGTCAAGTTTCCTGTTTGGCAAGAAAGCTGACTAGCCTCACTGTATCCAAATCTACCTAATGGTATAAATAAAGTTGATTTAAAATATGATTTTTCTTTTTGTACATGTCTGTCTTGCTACAGGTATTAAATTTCACTGTTAAATGTCTTGAATTGGAATGTGTGACACCTTCAGAAACCCTCCTTTAATTATCTGATTTTTGCTGTCCAGTACTCCATCGTCCGTTCTCAGCTGGTCAACCGCTGCCTGATGATATCGGTGTGGCATCACGGTCGCCTCAGCCGTAACGCCTTCCTGGGAGAGGTGCAGGCCGCTCTGGACTGCAGAGACCTGGAGTCAGGACGCGAGGAACAAATGGCTCTCATGGCAAAGGTAGACTAAAGAGACGATTCTGTCCTGAAACGAGGTTTTCTGGTGGATGATGGGTGTTTTCTGTGTAGTTTATATCCTACCTGTTACCAGAACATCTGAGGGGAAAACAAAGCTTACAGAAAATGTGTGTAGGTACTAATATCTCACAGAACCTGGAGTTTGGAAACCAGATTCTTCCTTTGTTTTCTAAGGTTGGTCTAAAGCTGACCTGCTGGCCACAAGCCTTTATTTGGGCTTCCTACACAGTCTGGAAAGTTACAGAATTTGATCTAAAATCTTTTATAGATGAGCACCAATCAGGAGAAAGCGTTGTATTTTTCCTCCTTGGTAGAAATATTTTTACCAGTAGTTTTGGTCTAGTTTCTGAAGTGTCCTTCCACACAAGTAACTTTTCAACAAGATACCAGGGCTTGTTTTTAATTAGTAATTTCTTAATTTTGAGAAATGAGAGAGTACTAGTTCCACTGGCAAATTGTTTCACTTATAACTAGTACTTTTTAAGGAATTATTGACTTGAAACAAGCTGTTTAGCTAAAAGTTGTTTGTAAGTTTTATCTTATTTAAAATGTACTAAGACATTTGCACTAGAATTAAACAAAATTATCTAGTAAGATTTTCTGTTTTTGCCGTGTATCTCGTCTAAATGTTGTATCCCTCCACCAGCCTTTCAGTCAGTTCATCCTTCCATCCAACCTTTTTTGGTTTATTCACCGGCCCATTAGTCCTCCTATCTGCTCATTTCTACATGTTTACATGTATAGAAATATTTGCCATGAACTTTTTGTCAAGGTTTTTACTGAAGAAATGGGAAGGAACTCTAGAAATCTGAGTTTGGAAAAGTCTAGAATAATCTTAAATGTGTGAAAACCTGGTATAGTTATTAATCTGTTAAATATCACTAAGCTGTTTCCCTTTTCACCTGAGGTTGTAAGTATTATAATTTATGCAGGCATTAACTTTTTTATTAAGAGGCATCATCAGAAGAGATTTCATATTACTGATGATTTAGTAACCAGTAGTTTTTTCATAAATGTCCCTGAAATAAGATTTTCCTGCCATTAGTCCAAAACTGCCTGCAGCCATAATCTGTCTTGGAAAATATTTAAAATTACAGGCCACTTTTAAAGACATTTATACTGGAGCGCATTGAAGGTTTCTTTGTGGTAAATTTTACCTCAGATAGTTATGAGTGTCTAAAAGTTTGAGGTTTAAACTTAATTTCTCAGTAAATGCAGCACCTTCAGTCTGTGTCTGTGCTGCTCGTTCGTCACTGATGTGGCAGAAACATTGATCAGCAGCAGCAGCAGCTGAATAATGGAGCCAGCAGAGAAATGTGATGTTTTTAAAACAGGAGACAGTCCAGTTGCTCTTCCTCCCTACTTTTAGTCAGAGACCAGCAATACCTGCAATCAAGCTCAAGTTGAACTTTTTATTTTTAACAAAATCCCAAATAATTTCTCACTTCTCATCCAACCCTTTTTATTCCTTGGACCACAGTCTGCTTTGGAAATAAATCTTTTAATTATAATGTAATATAATAAAAACAAATCTAATCTTTTATAGGTTTTAAATGGCTGCATTTCTTTTTCTTACTGAGATCTTCATTTGTCCAGTTGAGAAACTGCTTTGTGACGTCGGATGAATATTTCACATATATTTAACTGTTACAACACATCAGCTAAAGCCATGAAATCATTAATATGTTTTAGTGTGAGTATATTTCTGCTTTAACGTAGTAACTGTACCAGCTGAGCCACACAGTCCTGATGAACCTTGTTTTGTTTTTTGGTCATATTCATGTTTTGGTTCCTAAATGTTTCCTTTAACAGACGGGGTCGGCTGTGCCAGCTTCACCGTTTGCTCAGTACAAAGGAGAGCTGGTGATCTCACTGAAATACGTCACGCCCAAAAAGACGACCGCAGAGAAGGTCAAAGGTAACGTCTCAGAAACCAGCTTTCTGCCATGCACTTTAAAACTCTTCCCATCAGTTTTTGTTTCTTATTTTCAGGTAAAAAAGCGCCGCCTGTGGAAAGTGGAGAGCTGCATGTCTTGATTAAAGAAGCGAAGAACCTGATGGCAATGAAAGCCGGAGGAACATCTGACAGCTTTGTGAAAGGGTGCGTCACACGCCTCAGGAAGGGAACTGACATCGATTCATTATTGATCCCACTTATCGATTCTCATTGAGCTGGGAAATAAACTCTTTAATTCAAAATATGCACCATGATGTATTCGATTAAAGCAAAATGAAAACTTGCTTAAAGAATAAGAATCCCTCTGTCAAACATTTTAACATAACATGCAACTTTCTGCACATCAACAGTTTTTGTGCTTTTAATATAACGAACGAGCCTCATCTGAAAATATATTCTAATTTATTGAATGTGACTGAATGTTGGAGATTATTCGTTCAGTGTGGCGCTAACATTAACACAATAATGTGGAGGAGTTTAACGTTACCTGGGACTTTTACAGCAGAAGACGCTGTGGTCAGAGAGTCGCCGCTGTTGCTAAGCAACGTATCAAACACTTTCCATTCGTACAAGTCAGCTCCATCTGTGTGGTGAACTGTTTGAGGATGATGGAGGTATTTACTCCTTTCATTGCGATTAAAGTTCTGACCATGTTCCAACCAGCCATAGTTTTGTCTTTTTTTGAGAAATATAAAGATATTTTGACGCCATCTTGGATATTTTCTAATTTAAAATACGAAGCATGTGCAAACTGTCATCAAGCAAATGCGTTACAGGAACCAATAAGTGGATTCGTTAAGCAGGCGGCTTAATGGATCCAAGAAACTGAACTACTGTGAACGGATTCCCATCCTTATAGTCGCTTTAACGACATTTATTGAAACATTTCTTAATTTACTGGGTTTGTATTTGTGGCTCTCCAGGTACTTGTTCCCGTCTAAGGCGAAGAGCACAAAGAGAAAGACCGACATCGTGAAGAAGAACCTGAACCCCCAGTATAACAGCACGTTTGTGTACAAAGAGCTGAGTCTGGAGCAGCTGAGAGAGATGTGCCTGGAGCTGACGGTGTGGGACCGAGAGGCCATGCTGAGCAACGAGTTCCTGGGGGGAGTCCGCCTCAGCTCAGGAAAACGTAAAAAACTGATGTTTCTGTTTTCAGCTCGAAAATCTAAAAATACCAACTTCATCAGGTTAATCAGATTAAGTGTTGTCAGGGTGTAAAACTGGAATGGTAACAAATCCTGATTCATACTAATAGATGAACAGCATTTTAAAGGGGCAGTATTATGTAAAATTTACTTTATTTTAGCTTTAAATTATGTTATTTTCTCATCAAAAACATACCTGGAGTGTTTCCTTGATTCTCTCATGCTTGAGAAATCCTTTAATCTCCATGGCAACCATTCAGCTGTGCAAAATGCCTGGGTGGACTTGGCACCACCCTCAAGGCGCAGCTCCACCTCCGAGCCACAGTTTTCAATCTTCTGATCTTTCCCCAAATCCTTCAGACTAGCCAGCAGCATTTGGCAAACACCTGGTGGAGCTGCACTTCTGCTGAGCTCATTATACAAACTACTTCTCAGTTCAACACTGGTAAAAACGTAATCGAGGAGCAATGTTGTGAAGAGACGGAGGCTCAGTTGTTACAGTTGTTAAATTGCAAAGTAAACCTTATGAAAATCCTGTTTATTCCAAATGACTTAAAATTACAACTGAAGGTAGCGTAGTTACTTGATGGTGCAATAAAAACAGATAAAAATGTCATTTTAATATTTAAAGATGAACTCTTTATTTCCACATAATGGAAAGAACTTTGTATGTAGGTCTTAATTTTCCAGGTTGGTTTACTGTAAGATCATCACTACTTCTCTTTTTTTCTCTCTTGTGTGAACATAATATGAGTCAAAGGAATTTTCCATCATGGATCATAACGGATGCCGTGTAATCTTCACACTGCAGGCTCTGTAAAAATAGGAAAAGAGGAAGTGGAGCTGGAGTCTGTGGGAGAGGAGATCAGCCTGTGGCAGAAGATGATGCAGTACCCCGACTCGTGGGCAGAGGGCACTCTTCCACTGCGTTCCTCAATGGGAAAGACGAAGGGTAAATGAGGGCAGAGCTGAAAATGATCTGATGTGATAAGCTCTGGCCTCAGAGACAAATGGGAGTCTGGATTCATTGGAGAAACCAAACTTATCTGACCAGAAGCTCGGTGCTGCAGTTTTACCGTCTGCTCACTCCTCCCTCTCTGTACGGGACTCAGCTTATTTCACCCACTCCTGATTGGTGTTACTATTGAAAATGCACCAAAGCATCACACTTAGTCACTTTTTCAAACTCTGACTGTATGTATTACTATTTAAAATCATGTAGGACACAGAAGTTTCTTAATTTTTCACGCTTGTCTTTATAATCGTTTACAGAAGAACACTATGAAGGAAAACCATTATAAACCGGTATTATGGAGGATTTCTGGGTTTGGATGAAAACCACCAATGTGCTTTATTCTTATTACTGTTATTTTTATAGAACTTCAATTAAAGGCCTTATTTTAATAAATTAAATAACTATAAGTTTAAGATTTTCTTTTTGGAGTGTTATCAGTCACATCTGTTGACCCAATAAAAGTTAAATCCATCGTGTTCTCGTCTCCACTTTTTTCTGTTTGCATCCAACTCGGCATGGAAACATTTAATTGACTTACAGTTAATTGTCGATTTGATTATTAGATTAATTCTAGTTCAAATCGATTAATAACGTCCGTTTTAGACATTCTCCTAGCGTTGCGGTTTGGCCACCGTCCAGCAGAGGGCGCGGCTGATCATTTTGAACCGGAGCTATTTATACAGAAACAATATGGCGGCTATTCCAGAACGGGAAGGGAAATACAATCCAACAGAGTCAGATGTGGGATGCAAAATGCACCTTTTAAGATTCCGTTTTGAAATATAAACACCTGGATATCGCTCATTAAGCCGTTATACGATAGTGCGACGTCAATTTCCCAAGAAGGTGAGGCTGTGCAGACAGAAAAACGGAGTAAAGGTAAAAAAAAAAAAAAAAGAAAATTAACATGATTAGCAAGGTTGTTGATTTTAAGGGCTGTCGTGAGTTAAAGCACTTCATGTAGCGAAATTTTAACATTTCTGTAAGATCAGCCAGACTTCCATATTCATCTCTGTTCATCAGCAACTTTTGCTTGACATATTTAATTATTTTTAATATTTTTATTTTTCACCAACCCTAGAGGTTGTTTTATATTTTACAAAATACGTCTAACCTTAATAATGTGAGAAAGGCACAATTTTCACGGGGTTTTTTTCTCAGTATTTAATACAGCTGACAAAATATTTTTATTTTCTAAAAAATGTAGCCATTTATGTTACAGGAAGACAGTCGGCATCTTGACAGAAAACTCAGATTTCTAAGAAGATGGCCGCTCCTTTAAAAAAATAACAGCGAAAAGAGAAGGAATTAAACTAAAAAATAAGATAATTAAGAAAAGATGCTGCTTGTCAAGTCATTAGTCAATTGATAAGATTAGTCAACTTTAAATTTATTAATAACTTGCATCCCTATGTCCACCTGGTCATTTTCCCTTTTCTAACATATCATTTACTGGTAAACTAGATTTTTAACTCTGGGATTTAATAGTTGAACATGACATTAAAGCAGAATAGGTTATTCTTGATTTCTTGCAATAAAAAATGTTATTTCATTATAAATTAGAACAGAATTTATTGATGTAAAGTAAAAATAAACTATTTTCCTGCCCCAGATGTTGGTTTATATTGAACAAACAGTACCAGCACTTCAGTCTTGTGTAACGACCCCATTTAAACATGAGGAGCTGCCCTCTGCTTTAATCCCTCCTGGAACTGGTTTCTGGTTGGTTGTCCCTCCACATCTCGTCTAATAAACATGATGGCGTTGCCGCGGCAGCTGGAGAGCCTCCATAAATTAATCGCAGAAGTCTCTGTGCAGCTCCAGCCTCTCCCGTTCCTCCTCCTCCATCAGGAAACTGTCTATGTAGGAGAACAGCTCCTCTGACGACACTGGGACGATGAAGCGCTCTCGGTCGATGCCCAGCTTGTCCAGCAGCACCATGCTGAAGTAGAATCGGGAGATTCTGAATGCTTGCCTAGAGACGGAAACAATACAAGCAATTAACAATAGAAACAGTCCGGTTTCATGATTTACAAAAAGATTGATCTCTTCTACCTCTTCACTATGCTACTATTGTCTAAACGCACCGTTCCCGACCAAAAACAACCAATCAGAGCCAGGAGGTGGGTCTTAACGCTGTAAATCAACCTGGTGTACTCCTTGTTCAATGTGCTAATGGTGGAGAAACAAATTATCTTTACACAAAACACTGTTTATTTGTCATCATGGGTGGTTATGCTAACTAGCCTAGCATTCATTGCTGGCTCTGCAGTAGCAGAAGGGGAGGTGTAAGACTGGACAAGCAGGCGCACACAAGTATGATTGACAGCACTACAACATTCCTCCGAGCTCTGATTGGTTGCACTGGGAGATTTTTTTTATTTTTTTACTGATTATCTTTAATACCATACTGTCACAATAATGTTTTTTTTTGTTTTCTTTTTTTTACAGAAGTTACAAAGAGGACCACTTATGCAAAACATTTTTTTCACGTTCTTTGTTCTTCTGTTTGGGTTTCTACTGCTTCCAAAAACAGGACAAGCACTTAAAAAAAAACACCTGCCTGTTTTTTGGCAATAAATTGTTTTTTGGTGTCTGGAATATGAGCCGTTTCAAAAACCTCCCGTCAAGTCACATTCAATGAGCCGTCACCTAGCAACCCCAGCTCCGTTACCTAGCAACCTAAGTGGAACTCCAGTACGTTTGATTTTATTACGAGTGTTTTGTTGTTAATTTAACATCCAGAAAACACTTTGATGCATTCTTGTTGGTTGTGCAGGAAGCTCTACTTTTGCTTTTCAAAAATGTGTGGATGAATAACTACGTATCTGTTTGCAGCCATTTCCATGTGTGAGTGTAAACGTTGAGTTAAGTGGGCGCGGCCAGCAGCAGTATATTTGGATTTAAAGTCACAAGACGCCCTAAAACAGCTCATTATGAACTGATCAGACTAAAATCTCATTATCTAAGAATGATTTTGTACAGAAAATGTAATGAACATGTTTTGTACAGACACAGACCTATACTAACCTATTCCAGGAAGCATAATATGTCATCTTTAACACATCTACTTTTATTTTTTTGTTACTGCCTCTACTGCCAGGCATGTTGGACAAAGTTTAGCCCTTTTTTTTATTCCCTGCCCTGCAGCCTCTTGCCTTTAACTACCTCTCTCTGTGTTCAGTCCTGTGAAGCTGTGGATTCATGAGTCAGGGTAAAGACTGGATGTTTGGAGATTTTCCAGTCTGGAAAGAATGAGAGGGGCTCCGTTCTCGACTTACACAGTTATTGGAAAGAAGTCTGAGCCTGGAGTTCTCCTAGGAGGAATTAGTGTGTTTCTGGTGCAAAGTTGAGACTTTTTTTAAAACTCAGCTTGTTTAATGAGCCAAAGCTTGTTTAAATTATGTTTCTTTGAAGATGGTTAACTATAAAATGGATAAGAGTAACAGACTCTCACAAGTGTTTTTTTTTTACATTAAAGGAAAGTGTTGTGAGTTTTCCAGACACATAGTTCCATTTTATAGCATAATCAAGTAATTATGTTGCCTTCGTGCTGTATATATCTAAACTAACTTGAAACATAATGGATTATATAGAACAGGAAAAGATTTCGCTTCTGGTTGTTTTATTAAAGACGTATGCGGTTGTATGGATGAGTTACAGAAGACTGTGAATAGTAAGACTGGATAATCATTTGTCATGAAATATAAATGATAAACGATCCTTTATTTTTCACATTGAATGTGAAAAATATTGTCAGAATTTGATATTTTGACAATTTTGATATCGTCAAAACTCCTATCTTGATTTGACGATAAATCAAAATAAGAATCTGGATTTATCGTCATCACAATAAATTTCAATTAATGTAAAAAAACTGACTAAAATGTTTTTTTAATCTATTTTCTGCCTTGTTTTTTCCAAGAAAGCATCCAAAAATATCAGTAAATTCATAAATATGATTAAATAAAGTCTCTATGTGCAGTTAAGTAAAATAAATCACATTTCTTTATGTAAATGACATCCTGAAGAATCTATATGATCTTTGATCTATGTCAAATAGGAATGTTTTTCAACAGTAGTATTTATACTGAATGCTGTGCTATGCAGTTATCATAATTTTTATTATTATTATTACAAAATATTGTGATAAAATTCTAGGAAATGACATTATAACATGATGAAAAAGCTCAAAAATGATGATTTTCATATTTTCCATTTAAAGGCTGAAGAGAAAATACTCCTTACTTGTAATGATATACATATATTTTTGTTAATAAGTTTATTTTCTCTGAATGACCCATTTCGATAGGTCTCACCTCAAACCCTCGATGACGTCTGACTGCAGCAGATTTTCTTTGATGCGTCCCGTCTCACGCGGCGGGGAGCCCAGCAGCTCAACCACTGTGACGTGTCGAAGGTCCAACCCACAGTCAGATTTCTGGGGAAAAGAAGAACCTGCTCGTTAAAACACTGTAAAAAAAAACAACAAAACCCTGTAAAACACTGTAGAGAGCTGAGCGACGGTTCCTCACCTGGATCATGATGTTCTGCAGCTGGTAGTCCGGGTCGGATATGTTGGGCGCCGACATGATCAGCAGCCTCCTCTTTTCATAGAACTGATCCAGGAGAGCGCCGACTGTCTGTACGCTGAACTTAAACTCCATCGCTGCATAATAAACAATAATTTACAACCTGCAGCACACAAACACTACAATGTTTGCACAGATCTAACGAGGCTTTTAAAATGATTTGTGATCTTTGAGCTTTTTTGAGGCAATGGGAGTAAAGAGGCTGTTTAGGACCTCCACACCACTAGGGGTCCCCCAAGAGCAAAAAGCTAGCATATTTGTACAGCTCTGGAAAAAGTTCAGAGACCACATAAAATGATCAGTTTCTCTGATTTACTTTCACATTTGAGTAAAATGAACATTGTTCTTTTATTCTACGAACTACTGACATGTCCCCGAAATCCCAAGCAAAAATGTAGTTTTTATCTCCAAAAAATGATAAATGGTCAAAGTAATGAAAAGGATGCAGTGCTTTCAGATCTCAGATAATGCAAAGAAAACAAGTTCATATTAAGAAACAACAAAACTGATGTTTTAACTCAGATTTCAGAAATCTATTTGGTGGAATAATCAGGAGGTTTTTAATGGGGTTCACTGCAGTAGGCTCTTTTCAGAGCTGTATGTATATGAACTCTGGCACAGTTTGAATACATATAGGAATGCAAATTGAACCGGAGAGCTCTCCAAAAGCAGGAAGTGGACTACAGCGCAGGGAATTCTGGGTAAATACAACCAAAACAAACGCGCAAGTCTGGCGCTAGCAGAGCTTATGTTCTTTTACCAACAACCTTCTATAACCACTGATATCTGACACAACTCAACTTTTGTTTACATTTTGCGAAGAAAGAAGTCACACTCAGTGTCGTCTTCTGTGGTTTTTATGTCATTTCTTTCTGTAGTTCTTGGTGCAGCGCCACCGCAGGTGAGGAGGGGAACAGGTTTTTCGAAGGGTTTGGATCATTTGATACAGTGCAGTGTGAAAACGAACTGCAGCAGCTGAAAATGTAACAAATGTAATTTTGGTCCCCAATCCAACTGAGTCCACCGGACTATCAGCTGTGAAAACATCCTAAGTGTACAGGACTCATAAACATGTATGAACTGATCCCAAATCAAAGTTCAAAGGTCTCTGGTATTAACTGAAAAAATTTAAAACTCGTCAGATAATCCTATTCCATCATTTCTCAAAAAGTTACACATTATCCACGTTTTAAACAAAAATACTCACATTTCCCAAAGATTCATGCTATTAAACACTAATCTAAATGAATTTATCGATGCACCTTTTAAACTGCTGCTGTGTTTTGTGTGACTCTACTCACGGACACACTCCGCCGGTCCTCCGCTCCAGCTGCGGTTGAACTGGCAGACTCGGCTAGACATTCCCTTGCGCTCATATCCGCCGTCACAGAGGTATTCACACTCTGCGCCGTAGTTATTCCCATCAGACGAGCAGATGAGGTAACCGTGTAGCGGCGGCGGCAGCTCTGGACACCTTCTCACTGAGACGGAGTGGAAAAAGCCTGTATCAGCTCCATGTGTTGCAGCTTGAGTCACTTCATGAGAGGAAAAAAACCCTGGCCGCTTACCCTCAACACGTACAATAAACTTGCAGGCAGCTCTGTTCCTGGCCTGATCGTACACCTTGTATCTGATGACATGCAGTCCCTCCTTAAACTCGGAGCCGGGCTGCTGGTCCACTAACATCACACTGCACAGCAGAGAGACATGAGACGGTTGGGCGTTTATTTAAAACTGAAGAAGAAGCAGGAGAGGGAAAATCAACTTACTTCAGGAATTTGTCTGCAGTATCAGTGGCAGCTGGGGGGTCCCAGCTCACTCTGGCGGTGAGCTTCCCAGGTTCAGCCACTTTCAGTCTGGATGGTGGACACCTGATCTTCGGAGGGTCGGTATCTGAAGTAAAATATTGACCACCACAAAAAACAGATACAAGACATGTCTTTTATTATCACAAGATCTGCAGCTGTGCATTTCTTATTCAGCTTGCATAGTTCTCATCATGTTACCATAGGTAACCAGGTTGAACAGGTTAGTATTGCTTTATGGGCAAAACATGTTCATTACATTTTTTCCACAAAATCATTCTTACATAAAGAGATTTTAATCTGGTCAGTTCTGAGCTGTTTTAGGGCCTCCTGTCACTTTAAATCCAAACAATCTGCTGCTGGCAACAACCTCCTATCCAGCGTTTACACCTGCATCTGAAAATGGCTGCAAAGAGATGCATAATTATACATCTCTGAAAAGCAGAAGTGGCACCTCCTGCACAACCAACAAGAATGCAGCAAGTGGGTTCTGAATGATAAGTCAACAACAAAGCACTTGTCTTTTCCACCAGTCATTGTACACGGCATATTTTCAGTTAGTTTCCCCATGAAAATATTATTCTGTCCTAAAAAGTTGTTTCATGCTAGCGCTACACATGTTGGGTGGTATAGCAGCTAAAACAATCAGTTAAAGACTTTGTTCGTCATTTAGCTCAGACAGAGAAAATAAATACTAAAGTCTGAAGTTAAACAGTTATCTCATAAGGTCTCCTGTTTACTGCCTGATTATATTATCTTTGTATCAAAAGCTCTTGCTACAATTATTAAACATATTCTCATTAAATTATCCTTTTAATTTATTTAAAACATGAATCCATCTGATACTGCAGATCTAGATTATGTGTTGTCATCCAAAGATGGTGCTCACTTCCTGTTTTTTACTGCTAATGTGTTTTTTATTTATTTGCTTTTAAAAACGACAAGGTCTAAATATGTTTTATTTATATTTTATAATTTCAATAAATAAAGATTTATGGGTCTAAAATTTACCCCTTTAGAGAACAAAGTGATGTAAGATAAACACAGACAATACAGTTAAGTGAGGCTAATGCTAATTCATAGAACTTGGTGAAGTTTTATGAAGCGTTTTGTGGAAAAGGCGACAGCTTTAATTTCAGGAGTAGAACATGAAGAGTAACTGCAGGCTGCGGTTTGGATCCTCTCAGGAAATTAGTCAGTTTCTGTGAAGCCGTGAGAGCAAACACAAGTGGAGCTTGTTTTGAGAAAGGAATCTCAGGAAGTTGAGCAATAGCACAAATGGACCCGAGTTCAAGCCGCAGTTCACAGAATTTCCTAAAAGACTTTTAAAAGTTTGAACATCTTAAAGAAACTCAACCTGAACACTCCGGCTGTACTCCGCTCCACGAACCCCCGTGCAGGCAGGTGCGCGAGTGTTCCCCCTCGATGCGGTAGCCGGGTCGACAGGTAAACTCACACCTGGAGTCCACAAAGAAGCCCTGAGTGCAGGAGTATCTGCCCTGTGGGATGAGGGGCAGGACATGGCAACGAACCCCTGCAGAAACATCAGCACATCACTGCAGTCATAGTTAGGCCTTTTTTACGCTGCAAAAACATAAAATATTACCAAGCATTTCTGGTTTATGTACAAATATCTTGTACACTTGAAATAAGACAAAACTAACTTACAAGTGACTTTTCAGAAAGACAAAAGAACTTGTTTTGAGTCAAGGATCCTTAATATTGATTTAAAACACATGTGTCAAACTCAAGGCCCGCGGGCCACATGTGGCCC